ATTTCTATTAGCACAGCAGAATACATAAGGACACATTTGTTTTCAAGTCCTCTATTCATTCACTGTCCATTTATATATTACTTAAGCAGGACTGGGAAATGGGAAAATCAATGGGGTGTTCTGCACTTAAGTTGGAATATTTTCCTTTTCATACTCTGATCTGAACTGTGAGTAGTGAGCAAAACACAAGACAACTGAAAAACCCAGAGAAACACCAATGTGGGATCTAATGCTACAACAATATTAATTACAGCTGTAGGGACTTTGTGCAGGGCAATGAATCCAGACATTAGACAACCTGCCTGCCAGCCAGTAAAAACCCAGCCTGATTTCCTCAGCTGGGATGACTGAAAATATAATCCTATCTGAGCATAAACCACTTCTCAGTTCTTCTGTTGCCTGGGACTGAGAAAAGTTAAATAGTGCCAAAGATGGGCATGTCCTAAGTCTCATCCCAAGGTCCCTTAAGGCAGTGCTTCTTAAGCTATCTGATGTGGAGGACCAACAGGATTTCTTTTCCAAAGTACAAGGGAATGGGACTATATTTGTGCACATTTATTACAACCTTTTTTTGGTTATAATTTCCTGGAAATTTACTACAAAGTAGCTGCGAATAGCTCTTGCACCAGCACCAATCCATGGACCACTAAGCCTTGTCAGGGGACCATCTGTTTTCCGACTTCTGGTGACTTTCATTCTCTGGCTCTTGTTCCTTCCTTCTTTCCTGCCAATATATATACTTTTAAATACTTCCACACCAGTCCTAATTTAATGGCCCATAACCTCACAAGTTTCTCTAGGCATCAGCCTAACTGGTGGCTCAGGATGCTATAATTTCTAACTACCATTCATTTTACTGAAACCAACATCAGAAGTCTGCATGCTTGGATATGATAAACAATTCACTGACAGCTCAGTTTACCTAAGAACATGAAGGAAATTCACTTCTTTATCCTTTCAGGATTACACAATGGCAAGATGACCATCAACTCTTCCCCTCTACCTCTCAAGTAATGCTCTTCCTACCCATATATAAACGAACATGTTCATGGTTTAAATGAAGGAGGGGAAAAAAATTAGATGTGGAAACACCTGTTGCTGCACAGATATCAGTTAAGAGGGCTGTGTAACACACTATAAAGACCAAATGGAAGCAAGTTATGAAACCTGAAATGGCTGTAATGGTTTAATGTTTTGAAATGAATCCCTACCTCCAAGTACACTGCATTTCATCAACCCCAGTGCAAACCAGATGACAACACTGATATCATGTTTATTTTCACTTATCTTCCAAATATGAAAGCGATGAAAGGGACATAGGTTTTTGTTGCTTACAAGTGTATTAGTGTGCTTGTGTGAATTTTTCAAAAGTGCATATTTTTAATCATGCACATTTATCAAAAGTACTTATGGCTATGCACATTTTTTCTTTGCAAAAATTCATTGTAAACCACAGAAATGTATGGATTTCTTAGGCTAGATGCATTTTTATCCCACTGCCATTCTCAGGAGGTGCAAACTGAATATTTTTATAAGGAAATGTACACCAAACAATCCTCCCCCCATTCTTACTCATGTGATTAACAGACTGAAAATCACAACCTATTATAGATACATAACTGAGAAAATAACAGGTACAGACATAAAAGCCAAGTTTGACATCATGTGGCATGGTATGGTTCACAAAATGGCAGCAGGTTTTATGTCCAGTTTGTTTTGTGTAAAGGTTATACGGAGATCAGAACAAGAAACTGATTGCAATGTGTTGCTTGATTGTGTTTAAAATAAAAATGCAATAGAGTGGCTTTTTCTGCCATAACATTCACATACAAAATGTGACTATGGCTGAGACAAGTTTGAGGTGGTGCTTTACGCAAACTTTTCATGGGGAGAGAAACGAAGATGGCAGACAGTTGACAATATGAGACAGAGATACATAACATTAGTAATGACCACATAAAAATGTTTCATTTACCATATTTTAGAAAATACTATAAATAAACTAGGAGACAGATCATATTTAGGGACAAATCCTTGGATTCATGTGAATGTGTAGTAGCTTCAATTGTCCTATCTTAACTTTTTGGAAAGACAATGATACAGATACGGTTGTGGCAGGACAAAGAAGACAAATTACAGCATTAGGGAATAGGAACAATGGGTAATGGAGAACTGGAACTCACCGGTGGGCCAGGCCTGCCGTCTAAACCTGAAGCACCCTGGACAGACAAGGAAGGGTTAACAAAACAAAAGGCAAGGAGGAAGGGATGGGGTGAGGAGGGGAAAGCAGAGGTGAGTGAAGCAGTGACTCCAGACAATAAAACAACAGAACTCAGGTTTCAAGGACAGGTGATGGCACTTACAAGGAAAACAACAAAAAACAGACACTGAGGGTAACATGGGCTAGTTACTTTAAGATGCCTTATGAGAAAATGGAGCACCCCAACGTACTCTACCAGAATAAAGAACAGCCCTCCCCTAAGTTTGGAGAGTACATTTGCTTTCTCATCTTATGTGGCTGAGTTTCTCATAGTGGTGGCAGAGGTGATCTGGCCAGCAATGGGAATGAATTCTCAGGGGTAGTACATTTTTTAATAGTTGTGTTGAATTCCAGTAAATTGGTCATCTGCTCTAAGGAACACATCTAGTCCAGAAAATTATGTAGAAAGAGGGACCAATGCAATTGGTGGAATGTAATTTATTTCTTTTTCCGATACAATGCCTACTATAAATACATAGGAGGAGTTGGCTAACTAAAAAGATGAGAGATGGTTAACAATTATGAACCCAACCTTTGAACGTTTTTGGCACCTTACATCTTGGTAATTGTGTAAAGGTTCTGGTATCTACTGAAAATGTGGAATGACATTTAGGGTAGGTACATAGAGCTTGTAGCATTAAGACCATAAAGATCATGTGGCCTTCCCAATGTTGTTGGATAGAAATTCCCAGCCTTCCTCCCCATTTGTTTTACTAGGTAGGTTTAGGGGAGTTGCAAATGACTAATATTCAGAGGGCTGTGTGATGATTCCCATCTCTGTTATAAAGAGTTTGTTTAACAATTAGGCTGGGACTGGAAAGAGCTATTGCTTGTATGAATAGCATTCTTCTGCCTCTTCTGGGGATAGAGATATGACTGATGCAATCTGCATGACTGCAGCAGTCCTTGAATAACCATTGCCCTATTCATATTCCATACAAATATAGTTCCCACACTGTTGTTGCACCAATTCATGCACTTGGTGCCTCAATGGTCTCTGTGTCACACGTTTCCAGTGGTCCAACATGATCTCACAGCTGATCACATGGGAGCTACTTGTAAACAGAGATAAATTCAATCCCTTCACATTGATTTCAATAGTAATAATTGACTTCACTGGATAGTGATGTAATGCAGAGGGGCAGCTTGAGGCTCTTTAAGTGTTGTTAGACTGCAGTTCTCAGCAGCCCTAGCCAGCATAGCAAATGGTTGGAGACTGATGAGAACTGTAGTTCAGCATCATCTGGATGGCCACATGTTGGCCCATGCCTACTTTAATAGGCACATGGCAAGGAAACATGTAGAAAATGTAGTATATCACAGAAGCATTGTGACACCTCCAGATCCTTTTCCTACAATGGAGTTGCCAAATAATTCTGATTTAGAATACAGAAACTGGCAATTCAAGTTGAGGTCAAACTTATGACAGGTCTGCTGGAGGCTGGTGGATCCAGGTAAGTGGGGCAATGAATCTGCTCAGGACTTTGGTGTTAATTTTAAAGAACCTGTCCAAGGAACTAAGCCCATTTTCAAGAAGCATTTCAGCACCATGGACAGCTGCTTATATGTTAGATTAAAACTTGGAAAGGATTTGCCATTGCACTGGCACTGGAGCCATCATCTGCTCCTAGATAAAGTGATGAATGAATTCCAAGTATTAGCAATACTAGATGTTTTCTTCATTTAATATCCATTGAAACAATAAACTCATCAATTAAATGTTACTGTGCCTTGATGGAACACAAAGAGGATGATAATGCTACAGACTCCTAGCTTGGTTATTGACTAATACAGGTTGAGTCTCTTTTATCCAAAATGCTTGGGACCAGAATTGTTTGGGATTTTGTTTTTTTGTTTTAAGGATTTTGGAATACCCAAATTTGCATACGCATACATAATGAGTTACGTTAGAGATAGGAACCAAGTCTAAATGCAAAATGAATTTATGTTTCCTATAAACATTATACACATAGCCTGAAGGTAATTTTATACAATATTTTTAATAATTTTGTGCAAGAAATAAAGCAAAGGTGTCACTATCTCATCCACTTATGAAAAAAGTTTTGATTTTTGGAATATTTTGTATAAGGAAGATGCAACCTGTATTAGAAATTATGGAAGCATGCATGACAAATAAGCTTAGCATTCAGCATTTTAACATTTGTATTTATGTCACTTTTCCCCATAGGAAATGTAGTATATTAAATATTTAAATACAGGTTTTTGTATGTACCACAAAGCAGGCCATTTTCACCCAGTCATTTCAGTGGAGTCCAGTTAAAACTGTGATGTAGATGCACAAAGCAGTGTACCTCCTCCTTGGCTGTGTGACTGCATTCTTCATTAAATTCAATGAAGTTGCATGAATAGTGCAAGTGGAAATAGATTTTAAAAGGTAGGATCATGCTTTGTGGTGCAGATGTTTTAGATGCAGGACCTAATGGTCTCAATCCCCCTGTCTTTTATCCATATGTATTACTTCAATTGTGAAAGACACAACTAAGACTATGCCACCACTGTGTCACTATTCCATGTGTCTGTGTTTCTGATAATGACAGAGCAAAAACAAAGCAAAAAAAATCTGTTTCAGAATCCCAGTTTAAGGAAAAAATGCTCTGCAGTTTAAATAAAAAAAAATGCTCTGATGTACAAGTGAAGTTTACATCACAGCACCATCAAACTACAGCAATAAAAAGCAATTTTATTCTTCTGCCCTAACACCCTAATATTAAGCTAAAGAGTCAGCATGGTGTGGTGGTTTCAGCATTGACTATGACTCAGTAGACCAGGGTTTGAATCCCTGCTTGGTCACGGAAACCCAATGGGTGACCTTGGGCAAGTCACACCCTCTCAGCCTCAGAGGAAGGTAAAGGTAAATCCCCTTCTCAACAAATCTTGCCAAGAAAACCACATGATAGGGTTGCCTTAAGGTCACCATAAGTAAGAAATTACTTGAAGGCACACGACAAAAACAACGCTGGGCTCATTTATTTGGGAATGTCCCATTTTGTTATAGAAAAGGACATTATTTTAAAAATAAAAAATAACATTTGATCCCATAAACATTTTATTTCAATATTTATAAGCCAAAACTAAAGTGCTGGATAGGTAAAAACCCCTATTGAAATTAATGGGGTCTGAAATGGAAAGGGGTTTGAGGGGGCCAGGGCCACAGGCTTTTATATTCTGAACAACTGTACCTATGGAAGCAGAGTATCCTAACACACCAGAAATATATTCAGTTTAAAGATTGACTTTTGCATGGAATATTCAGGAAGATAGATCAGATTTAGATCAGTGTGTCACTGCTTAGCTTAATAATATACTACTTCATTCATACTGGAGAAATTAGTTAGGTGGATTAGCATCAATGGTTGCTAGGAGAAATGGGACTCAGCCAATACCATATCTGAAGCCACAATAAAGGGAAGCTCCACCTTTGGAGCAAAGTGCCTTAAGAAAGGTCAGAATGTTGAGTTGAAGGAAGAATTACTAAGCCTTAGAGAAATTCCTTGTTATGGGGAGAGGTACAAAGAGAAATACAGCCTAAGACATTTTATTAGCAATAACAGTAGCATTGTTTGTATTGACTGAGTCATGTGAATCCACTTTAATGTGGACTGTGTGGATATCTGTTGCTAACAAATATTTAAGCCTTTCTCCTGTCACCAAGGTGTTTCCAGATTAGGCTCCTCTTGTTCAACTATCCTTCCTCATTCATGGAATTTTAGAGAGGAGGCAGATGACATGAGCTATTTATAATTAGAACATGTTTTCTCATTGTTGCTTCCAGCTTCTTTTTTAATCACGCACACACAAAATACAAGAAGTAAGGAAAAGAGTGGAATAGTAATGCTACATTCAGCAGGTGTGGAGTGGAAATACAGCAGTATATTGGGGATGCCCCCACTAGCTGTACCCCTTTTCTTTTTGCAGAACTATGTTCCCAGATGCACTGTGGAAATGGGAAACTGTAGATAATAGCAAACCATATTAAAATGAATTACTTTCAGTAGAAGTTGACCATAGAGTTGCACTGGAGGTCCTAGAGATTCCTATAGGTAGGAATTTTTAGGTTCTCCAGTGTAATTTTGTGGTCACCTTCCTCCAGAAGCATACCACAGAACTGCACAAGAAGACTTAGAAAATATAGAGAGAGTGCATATTTTTTTCAGATATGGTTAAGTGAAACCACAGGTACTAGTGCTGCAGATGGGAGCTGTACTGTATTTTATGTACTGCAAACCAAGTCATTTCCCCTTTAATTTAACAGAACATGGAGCGATGCTACTGAACACAGTAGTGCTTACATCTGAGTAGATATATGTATAATCTGCCTATAAGGTGGTGGCTTCCATGTTAGAGGTGTGGTGAATCCACTCCAGAATTTAGTATAAATATAAAAATGCTGGTTCTATTTGAGGGATAGTGTTTTGCAACTTGGATAACTCATTTAGAGTTCACACTAAAATGCAGAACAGATTTTCTGTTTCACTGACATGGAAGTCAGTAACCATCACTACTATAAGGCTACAATAATCTGTTGTCTTTTTTCCCTTTTCCTTCTAAAATCAGGATATTACTATGCTGGAATATTACTGTGAGAAGGGTTGAGAAGTAAGAAAATTCTGCAACTCATTGGCTTTGAATTAAGCAGTTAAAAGCAAGTAGAGAAATTTCTTATCAGAATTGTGAAACTGACCACAGAATGTCAGAATTTACTCAGAAGGCAGACGATGATCCATTTGCCTTCTGATGCAGGCCCCTCTGAGAAATTAAATATACTGTGGCAAACCCCTATATTGAGATGTAGCTCAAAAGTGACACATAGAATATTTGTTAAGTTAGCACTCTGAAGAAAACCTCAATATGTGGTGATATGATAGCCGTGTTTAAATATTTGAAGGGATGTCATATCGAGGAGGGAACAAGCTTGTTTTCTGCTGCTCCAGAGACTAGGACCCGAAACAATGGACGCAAGCTGCAAGAAAAGAGATTCCACCTCAACATTAGGAGGAACTTCCTGACAGTAAGGGCTGTTCGACAGTGGAACACACTCCCTCGGAGAGTAGTGGAGTCTCCTTCCTTGGAGGTCTTTAAGCAGAGGCTGGATGGCCATCTGTCGGGGATGCTTTGATTGGGAGTTCCTGCATGGCAGGGGGTTGGACTGGATGGCCCTTGTGGTCTCTTCCAACTCCATGATTCTATGATTCTATGCTTGTTTCCATTGTTTTGTCTCCAACATACAGCCTATGTCTAGCTCAATGTCTGGTTTCTGGAGAGGCAAGATTAGGGCTGTTGGGAGGTTTAAAGGCTGTTAGGCTCAATCACTAATACCTGATTTGCTACAGACATCAGAAGTAGAGGACATCATATTAAAGGACAAAGCAACAAAGAACAAAGTTTCTTCTAGGGGGACAGCTCCTTAACTGAATTCAGATGCTCATGAAAGTATGAGTTTGTCCATTCCTTGTTGTAGAACTAATAACATCTCTAATCATAGACTAAGGGCCTTTGCAGACTGCCAGAAATAGTGCAAATTGAGTCCACGTTAACTGCCCTGACTCAGTGCTAGGGAATCATGGGAACTGTAGTTTATTGTGGCACCAGAGCTCTCTGACAGAGAAGGCTCAATGTCTCAGAAAAAAATACAGTTCCCATGATTCTCTAGCACTGAGCCAGGGCAGTTAAAATGGATGCTCTGTCTCAGACTATCCTTTCCACAATGAAATCTGCATATGTTCTGGAAGACAAGAAACTACTCAAGCATGTAAATAGGTAGATGAGACTAATTTTGGTCTGAATCCCATTAGTTCTAATTAGAGTAGTCCCGCTGAACCATTATAAGTTATCTACATGCTCTCTCATCATTCAACAATTTATTCAATGTGTCTATTCTAGCTGAGACTAACCAACTGGATTCAAGCCTTTGATTAATTTGGAATGCTGTGTTTATGAGTGTTGCCTTCCATTGTTTCTTTCCTTTCCCCTTTCCTTTCCAAATAAACTCCCTCTCTCCCTCTCTCTCTCTCTCTCTCACACACACACACATATATACACACACACAGAGTGAGAGCGAGCTAAAGCTGAATTCTTTTAAGAGAATTTTCACTAAACTCTTCCCAATGTGAAGGACCTCATGGAAAGAAATCTACTGCCTGTGTTCCTATGATTTCACCAGGGTTCATGTTTCTGTTTTTACTATTTCTGCTAGTTGAAATGAAGGGAGTCTTCCTTGGCAGAAGGACTTAGATCTCTGTCAGGAGGTTCATTCTAACTGATGGCTGTTTGTCAGTAATTCTTTTATCTGGGAGCAGCTTGTAAAAAAAAGGCTCCATTAGAAGGGAAGTCACCCCCTCCGCAGCATCAGCACCACATCTATCTTACACACACTCACACACACACACACACCAGGATGCTAAAATGGTGCCGAGGAAGCACCCACTTCAAAATGTCAGGGGAAGAAGATAGCATCAGGACAGGGGAAGGGACAATCAGGCCCACTTTGCTACACTGTGCCCACCATTTAGATGGAATAAAATGAGATAAATGCAACAACAACAACAAAAAAAATTGCTAGACCTTAATAAAGTGTGAGCATGTAGTGACAATTTTACCTTTAGCTTACATTGGATGAGCAATGTTAGGAGGGTGTGGTCTGGAAGTTTCTCAAGAACATGGACATAGGTCTAGCATGCAGCAATAATAACTGCTATCCTTTCTCTTTTGTGTAAACTGGAATATCCATTTCAAATATAAATAATAATAATAATAATAATAATAATAATAATAATAATAATAAGTTGAATGCAGTTCTTCTGAGTATGTTTCTTTCTTGACTCTCAAACATCAGCCCACACCAAGCTCTAGTCAGACAGAAACAGAATTCCTGAAGCGCTAGTATATAAGGAGCCTACAGCTTCACTGGCTACCAGTCTGTTTCCAGGCACCATTCAAAGTGCTGGTTACAACATATAAACACATATACAGCTTAATTCTTGAACAGGGGTTCCCAACCTGTGCTCTGAGGAGCCCTTAGGGCTCCATGTGCACTTCCCATGTGCTCCCTGGCCACTTGAGGAAAATGAAAGGAATAAAAATTGAATGAAATTAAAGAATAAGAATATATTCTTATATATACTCCTAAACACCATTAACTTATAAGACATAGGGTAGGCCTCTTAGGGGATACACCATAGAAATAAGGGCTCTGCAACTCAAAAAAGTCTGGGAACCCCCTGTTCTAGATTATCTGAAAGCACGCATCTCCCTTCATGAGCCTGCCCAAGCCTTATGATTGTCATGGGAAGGCCCCCCCCCCCACCATCCTCACAGGCTTGTCTGATGAGGATACAACAGAACTCTCTTCTGAGAGAGGTTTGGTTGGCCCCCACTCTGCTCTCTTTTTACCAGCTTACACAGACCTTCCTATTCAAACATGTCTTCTGCCTTTAATTGGTTTGGGTAGAAAGTTGTGCAGCTGGTATGCTGATTTTTATATGTAATGCATTTTAATATGTTTTAATTGTGTTAAATTAATGTCAGTGTTTAATGTTTTTTTTAAGTTTTGTACTAAAGATTGTTTTAGCTATTCTCTTTTAATCCACAGAGTAAGCTATTTGGGGGCCCCTAACTGAGATAAATGTGAGAGATAAATCACATTAATAAATATGTACCTACATCCTCACTTAGTGCGCATTCAAGACTTCATCCACTTTGTACCAACCCATCAAGTGAAATGCATGTGTAAGAAATAATCCAGTTTAAGGC